GAAAGTCCTGCAAAACTTTTCAAATCTCGAATTCTCAAAAAGCATCTGATGTCCACGACTTCTAATGTACATTATTACAAAGGTAATGACTATAGACCTTCTGTTGGAATTATACTACAAAAAATGGGAAATCGAGTGGTGTAGATATTAGACATCAAAGATCACTCAGTTCATAACAGACACCTGGACAAAGTGACAATAAATGAAGTAGGTCGTTCCAATTGTTATTTTAATGATTCCGCTAATAATCCTGATTTTGTAGATAATTCAGAAATAAGTCCAGATAATACTGATGAAAATGATATCACAGAATCATTTAGAAGATCGCAGCTACTTGCAAGCAAACCGAGACATCGTTATAAATACGCAAGGAGATATTCGACGTGTGGCGGATGTGGTGATTGACAATTTCTATCTCTGTATTGTTTAAATACTTACTGTTGACTGTTAATATGTTTCATATATGAATGGCATTATAATTCCGCTAAATACAAATTCCTGAATTCCGCCCTCTCTGTGTTTTGGTTTGATTCTTGTAATTCGGTCATCTTGAAATACTAATACCACGATTACAAAAAATTACTACATGAAGATTCTCTGGGATGGATGAAACATCTATTCAATACTCTTTAGTCTTACAATGATTCTGTCTCTAACTGATTTAAATTCGTGTTCTAATTTGATATTTGTATATTGTTGGTTAAAAGTTGGATCATTTGGTTGGAGACTAATTTACTGTGTCTATTCCTTTGTCTGGTGCATTCAAGTTGGCAGTGTGTCCACCATCCTAGATGGCTCACCATTACGGTGCAGTTTAGACTTGTTGGTATTAGTTGGTTGGAGGCAATCGGCAAGAAGTCTTGCATGACCTAGGTTTCATGCTAGTTGGCATTCACCAGCCAGTCAACAAGGCGCATCTGCAGGCTTGAAGGAATAACTCATGTCCCTACTGAGATTCTAACCCACATCGCCAGCCAGTGTTGCAGTCAGAGACGTTACCACTTAGTTGTTTGGGCTCACAACTGACCTCCTGTAGGAATATATATTGGATATTTTGGTTGGAGACCAGTTAGTAACTAGAGTGATGTGTCTAGTCGTCTGTTTGGTTCAAATTGAATTCCATGAATCAGTCAAAATATCAAACCACTAGGGGAGCCTATTCAACTGATCCCAAGTGGCTCAATGGTGTACGAACTCTCTTCATAGTCAGAATGCCAAGGGTCCGAGCCTCAGTGGGTGCGTACTGATGAAAAGTCCCAGGACGACCAGGATGAAACTGTTGATTTTCTACTACTCTCCTGCAAACCAACACTTGATAATTATAGTTTTGTTAGTCACACTGGATACCAACCATGTGGCTGAAATAATTACAATCTCCGTGTCACCTAAATCTCCTGGTTACGATCTCTGTTCCCGTGTATTTGAATAATTATTTAACTGGTATCATTTTGTTATAAAATCGGAATTTGTTAAGCTTCTAGTATAAAGGCATTGGAGGTGCCTGTAGGTTAACTGGGAGCTGTTTGATTGATGACAGCTTAGACTCGTATTCCCGTTCGATTTGGAACTCACCAGTTGGATATATATACGTAAATGAATCCTCAGCACATAGGAGTGTCTTCACTGAGACCGAAACCTAATCAGAGGTTAAATATTTGTGTTTAGTAAAAGTAACCAACTGAGAATGCAGAATTTTAAATGAATTACAAGTAATACCCCCGCATTACATGCATACATACTCCTAAGAAGTGGCTATCATGGATTGATATTGAAATCAATAACTCTTTGAAGTTGGAAGGTTTGGATGTTGGACTTGCATTCTCAGTAGAAACACTACTATTCCCTGGGATATGGGTACTACACCCATTAGAAGAGACCTAGTTAGAATGAAACGTGTATATTGGTTTCTGTCAACGGTCACTGTAGAACAAATACCTTTTTAGACACCACTATTGGTGAATATTGTGAATGAAAGTAGAGGGAATTAAATTTTGACTTTGCTTAAATTTACTCTTCTATTCAGTATTTCGAATGTGTAGTTTCTATATCAGCGAAAATTTATCAATTCACTCACTTCCGCTGATGATATTCTTAATTTTGATGGACTGGATTATGCGTCAGACTGTGCATGGGAGCAAGAAGACAAGAATACGCTGGACCACCGATAAGGAAACTCAAGAAGATCTGGATTTCGCGAGTAGCTGATTTATGTTTAATATCTCTTATACAAACTCAAAGGTATATAGTTGGCTAAAACCAACAAACTGACTGCAGGAGTAGCCAATGAAGAAAGGACTTCACGTGAACACAGGGGAGATGGAGGTGGTGAAGATAACCAACCAACCAAACAGCAAACATCTACAACAACCAGCACCAGTCATCATCAGCAGGAGAAATTTGGAGGAGGTTACTTCTTTTATTTATCTGGCCAGAAAGCACAGTTGTAACCGTAGGCAGTCGGAAGCGATTAAGATATCAGAGCCGGCCAGAATCTGGAAGGCAAGATACACCTTCATTAACCTGCAACCAGTTTGTAAATCTTCTGCTTCACTCACGCAACACATAAAGAACAAGATCTGGATTCTCAACTCAAATGTAAATTCAGCCAGTCAGATCTTCTATATGGGTAAGAAACTTGCACTGCTTTTCACGAAAAGGATTTCAACAACCTACTGCAGACTTTTATCAGCTGCTGCCCTGCTGGAGAACAAACCAACAAGCACGAGCCGATTTCTGAACAAATATATAGGAGAAAGTGGAGATGGATTAGGTACACCCTGAGGAGGCTGTCGAACGACATCAAGTGCAGTGTAGGCGATTGTTCAAGTGGAATCCGAATGACAATCGATGAGTGAGTTGTCATTGCGAGGGTGACTTGGAGGCAGTAGATCGTGTGAGTTGGAGGAAGAGATGAGAGATTATAGACAGTCGTCGACTTAGTTGAAGAGGACGGCAAAAAACAGAACACAGCGAAGATGTGTACTGTTGAAGGCTCCTATGTTCCACTCGAAACCCAAAGGAATAATATTTTAAAAAATAATAACAAGTCAGGTATGGGGAAAAATAGCCACTGATGACATTACATCTGGCTGTGATTCTATATACTGCGAAGTAGATGTTAGAATTCATAGCTTAGTCAGTGGATTCCGTCTCTGTAGCTGGAGGTCAATGGGGTGACCTTGTAGTCTGAAGATCCTGAATTCACTCCCCAGTGAGATGGTGGGTGAGTACAAGTGTAGAGTCTCAAACTAGGACGGAACAGCTGCCGGTACTGTCTGTTTTTCAGTATTTCCCTGGCTGATATGACCTTGTTATCAAGCAGCTTAGAAGAACAAGCTACTGGTTGATTAAAAGAGTCTACAACTACTCATATGAATCAACCAGTAGTATGTAACATCATATATTTACGTCTGTTCTCTTCATTATCAAATGCGGTATCAAACAGATTACATATTTCAAGGTTTCATCATGAAACGACGTCGGTTAGAAGACCATTACAAAACCACCCAGGAGTACTGAACAGACAGCTGTTTCATCAGCCCAGTGTGGAACTTCTCAGCAGTACTCACACACCACAAGACCTTCCGGTTACAAGGCTAGAGACCTCGTAGACCATTAAACCTCGGGGACCCGACCCAGTGGCAAAGCCATCAATTCCAACGTCTGAAAATTCCCAACATGGCGCGACCAACAGCGAATTTCATCGCTGGTGAGATTCCGCCCTCACACCTGATCTGCTGTACCCCACTGGTCACATACTGTAATCTAAATAATTTCAGTTGCTGAAGGAAACTGTAGTGAAATTTCACTTCCTTGAATTGTGTAAATTGTAAACCGCGGATCTGATTTAAATTAATGTCGGCTTGTCCAAGTAGCCAGCCAGAAATTTGGTGGTATCAACTAATTTGGCTCTCTGAGATAAGTAAAGCCTAAGTAGAAAGGTGATGAGGTCAACGCAAAACTAGAGAAATGACCATCTAGTGCATAGATCACTTCAGTTTGGCTGGCTATCAAGCATTACTGGCTGATATGAGTTATGTACAACTACTCAGTTTAACCAAATAATAGTGTTTTCACTTTTATGACGAGAATGTTATTCGCCTGTCAAAGTTGTTCTAAATTGTACAATGAAAACTTTTGTTAATTTGATTTGCTTTTCGAGTTTGACCACGGACTGATAGCAGTTAGAGAAACATTCAAACCCCCCAGGAACTAGTGGACAGGTGTTTCATCCTAATTTGGAAATCATCAGCAGTACGCACCTACTGCCAGGGGTCGAACCCAAGGGCTTCTGATTAGAAGGTAAGTTCGTTTACCATTCAGTCACCGGGACCCGACTCATTGGCTAGCCCATGATTCGTGAGGTTCATCAAGTCTGGTGTGAGGATGGAGTACCCGCCAATAATAAAGTTGGTTGGTGGCCGCGCTAAAATCACGAATTAGTAGAAGTTAGACTTCATGGGCTCGTCAGTGGATGGGGTCCCAGTTGCTGAATGGTATATGAGCTTGCCTTGTAACGGGAAGATCCTGGCTTTGAACCCTGGCAGTGGGTGCTGAGTGTCGATGGTTCCCAAACTCGGATGAAACACCTGTCCAGTACTCTCTGGAGGTTTTCAATGGTTCTTTAACTGATATCAGTCCGGCGGCAAATTTGAAATTTATTTAAACCAGAATTGTAGAAAAAATGAAAAATACGCCTTTGTATCTAGAATTCAACTATGCATATAAAACTAACTTTATTAATTGAACTAAACAAAGTGTTAGAAGTTTTTACAGTCAGTTTAACACATTGCTTTCTGATTGGATATAATTTGTACAAATGAACCAATAGAAAGTGAGTGCACATGAATTCTCTAACGTCATTGGACAATAAAAATGAACCAATCAGAATAGCGAGGATACAAAGAATTATTTAATAAATACATCAAGTGGTGCTTCTGTCCAAACAAAATACAAAACAGTTGGGTATAGCTGTTTTGGTAAAATTTTTTAGTCATCAGGAACAGAGCAATACTACTACTACTACTACTACTACTACTACTACTAATAATAATAATAATAATACAATCCATATGTTGAACATTTCACCGTATATTTGTACAACTGTCACACTTGTCACTATAATGATAAGTTTAAACAACATAGGTAAGTTGATTGAATAAATATGTAAAAGTGAAATTTTGGGCACTATTTGGCAGAATATAATTCTATATTAGATAAGCCTATTTGGCAAAGTTCAACAATAGCGTCTCAAGAGTGCGAACGCTCCAGTGACCATGAATGCATGCTAGTCGTTGGCTGACACCACCTATCATTATCATAGCTGAAATATCAACGCTACTCACCAACTAAGCAGTAAATTTCACTCAGATCACATTTTTAAGTACTGTTTGGACAATATGTTAATCACTCGTTAAGGTTAGGATTAGGGTTATAATTAGGATTATGGTTGTAATTAGGGTTAGGATTAAGGTTAGGGTTACGATTAGGGATAGATTAAGACTTGATGATATTTATTTTAATTTGTTCCCTTATCCACATTTTTCTGGCAAGTAGTCATCGATTCTCTTACCGTGAACCCTAGTAATTCAACCGACGGCTTTTGGGGAAGACTGCATAACAGGATAAAATAAATAAAGAATTCACAGAAACAGTTCATCTTTAGTCACCTGAGTGAATACCCATGTACAAAAACTATTATAACTTAGCAACTAATACTCCTCATTATAACTGGGACGTATTTTTAAGTCATGTCAGAGAAGGATAACCTGTGTTAATGTGTTTTCATACATTTTCTTGTAAATATACGTCATTTTTTGTGCAAAAGTTCCTCATTTTTATGACTGGTCGGCTGAAGGTCACTTGTGAGTTCGCATCCCTTGGGACGCTATTGTTGAAATTTGCCATCTGTTTGATATATGTAGCACACATTGAATGATAGTTTTTTTAGAAACTGGTTGACAACGTTACGATAAAAATTTGTTAGTAATTATAATTATATCTCAGTGTATTCATACCAACTGAGAACTTTCTTAAATGTAACAGAGAGGATTCGTAGGTCAGGTGGGTGATTTTGATGTAGTTGTGCTATCTCAGCTGGATGGTTCATACTTGCGGAGCTTTCATTGCCCTACTAGACAGCTTCTTCAGCGCATACGCACTTCAATTTTTTGAAGTGAGCTTTTAGATTTCTCCACGAGTTTATTAGTCATCTCTCCTGGTGGGTGACCTTGAACAACGAGATGACTGGATGTATTCGTTTTAGTGCCGATATTTTCCTTGACTTGAACTTTGACCCTTTGTGTGTGAGATTTCCTTCTTATCAATTGGTAAATTTTATTTATGTCAATGTGTCTATTGATTGACGATCCACTGGAATACCAGTCAGGCTTCGAAAATTTGTCTAGCATTCTTAGGGTTTCCTCTGTCTAATTAATATTCGAACGTTGGTTGTCCCAGTCGAATTGATGTCCGTGGTTGTCTGTATGCAGCGAGTGATATGAGCGAGGGAGTGGATGTCATGTCTTTTGACGGCTAGTTTATGATCATGTATACGAAGACGAAAAGGATGGGCGTCCAATTTAGCCAGTGTAGTGTTTTTATCGCAGTTGTTAGAATTTATTTTGTAGATGATATTTCTTTTATCTTCTTTCGCTGTTGAGTCTTCTGGTTGACACAGAGCCAGCTGAGTGAAGTGATTTTGTTGCTTTGTGTGCGATGTCAATTCCTCACCAAGGTTTAAAGCGTCTTGCAGTGATTTATTTCCGAGATGTTGTCTTTTATATATGGTAGGGTGAGAATTTACTTTATATAACTTCACGCCCTGCTGTTTTTTTACTATACTTTTCATATATCTACTTTAAGGGCTGGTGGCACAGTGGTTAGGACTCTCGCCGACCATGCACATGGTCGGAGGTTCCATCCCCTGCCGAAGCACACACGATATGTATGGTTGGCCTGCGAAATTTGGGCTACCGATATTCATTCTGAAAATTCCATACTTGTACCCAAAATACTGTGTGGAATCAAGCTGTAATCAAAAATAAAATAAATAAAGAAAGGTTCGACTGCGTGTGTTGAGTATTGCTTCGATGAAGGAAAATTCAGGGATAAGTCTCCGTCTGCTTGCTTGATAGTATAGCTTTGTAATACTTTCACTCTGTCCCTCCCTACTGTGTCTGACGACGTCTATGGATGTTTTCTAGATTACTTAAATTAACGGGATCATTCATTCCAGATCTAGCTGAATTCCTATATTCCGATTATGTAACTGACCTCACAGTCGTTAATATGGTATTCAGTAGTGTAAAATATTCCCATATCATGAAGTAAGTCACTCTGAACGAAGCATATTCTTTTCAATAATTTCTCTGCTTCAGGTTCTTACAATTATAAAATATAATATTTGTAGTCGTTACAATAATGATAGCCAGTTAGTTATGCGGCGGATACATTTTTGAAAACAAAACACGTAGATCAGCGAACAGTCTCTTTTCGGCGAATTCATTTCTTAGCTGTACAATCGCAAATATATATGCATTGTTTTGTATGTATGTGTACATTAAGTTTGTCAAACAAAGTTACAAATGGTTAAGGTTACTTTTAACTAAACAAGTGAAGGTTGGTAATACAGGTCAAGAAAATTAAGTGCTAATGAAACTAGGGTAGTAAAAGAAAAATGATGAGTTGTCACATTTTTCACGTAGAATAACAGATTAGTTATCATGGGGTGTCAAAATAAGTAGTCGTATTTGAGTGTGACAAACATGCTAGTTGGCTGAAGTCGATTACCAATATATTTCGGTGAAATGGGAGACAGTGATGATGGTGATTAGTCGTCATAATAGATTTGTAGAGTGTGGGGGTAGGAAATATGACAAGTCACTTCAAGGTTATAGAAGCTGTCAGGTGAGTGAGTGAGTGGCTAGTACACAGTGGTCTGTGTTAAACAGGAGGATATAGTAAGACTGCAATGAGAGGTGGTTCGTAATGAAATCACGAAAATGTCGTGAAATGAAACAGGTGGAGGCATATGTTGAGAAAAGAGATAATATCATCACTAATGGTAATTTCGGATAGTGTAAATGGAAAATTCGATAATATTGAGCGAATGTTTGAATGGAGGGTATAAATTATGACGAATTTTTTTATTCCTTCACGTTCCCCAGTGGAACACAGGGTGCTTCATGCTAGAGACCTGAAGGTTCTGTAGCAGTGTTTGTTTATTTTACAGGATGGGGTTGCTAGCCCCACGCCCAACCTTTCCTCTTCACCAGCTTTATCTCTATCTTAGCGAGGTAAAGGAGTGCGTTGGTGGCCGGGGATCGAACCCCGGACCATGTGCATGGTCGGCGAGCGTCCTATCCGCTACGCCACCGACGCACAAATTATGACGAATAAAAATAATAATTGTGATAATAAGCAAAGAAAGAAAAACAAACCAAGAGGATTAAGGGGAAGAAGAACTGTTGGTGAGACGAAGAAGAATCATTAATCCAAGTTTGGCCACGGTAAGAACAGCGTCCCGACGCGTCCTTTTTGGATACAAAGTTCCGGTTTAGTTGATCTTATGGTAACAGCTTCATTTATGTTTAGCAGACGTAAGCGAATTGTACGTGATGACGACTTCGGAATTCGGTATATGTTATGTACTCGTCGCCAAATTATTGTTATGTACTGGTCGAGAATTTAATAGTCCTGACGCAAAAAAAGACGGAAATCAGAAGACCACTAGGTTTGCGATGATACTTCTATATTCCAAAACACAAGGAGAATCAATGTGTCCCACAAGAGTGTGAGCGAATATTCAAAATGAACAAATCAATAGACAGTCTTAACATGATTGGCTAATTATAATGCAATATCGATCCATATATACATAGCAAATATACAGACTGTCAAACAAACACACATATTATATGGATATATATCACCAAGGACAGACTGTCAAACAAACACACATATTATATGGATACATATCAGTATATAACCCTGAAAGCTGTTTTCACGTCGATACAATGTCCATACAAAAACCCAAAAAGAAATTATTGAAAAGAATATGCTTCGTTCAGATTGACTTTTAATAGGGCATTTGGTAAATTATATTATTTTTCTTAATTGGATCTATCGAGTCCTTCAGCCTACAAAGTTTTTCTTAACCACAAACTCAAATCACCGGAATTTAGGAATTTGGCTATATATCCATGCTGAAAATTCCATACTTGTACCAAAAATACAGTGTGGAATCAAGCTGTAAATCAAAAAAAAAAATTATTGACCTCGCTAAGTTAAGAAATCTGGAGAGAAATGTTCACCATTGGAATCCATTCACTCGCATGTTGTCACATCATAAGGTGGGACAAGGGGAAAGTATTAAAAATTACAATATTTAGGAGGAAAGGGAGGGAGAGAGTACTTAATAACTGAATCTTTGAATAAAGCAAGAACAACAGTGTCAGTTTGTGCAGAATAAAATGGTACCATCATTGTTTATTTTGTTGTCTTCTTATCAGCTCAGGTGCTGCTTACAGGCCAAAGTCATTATTATTAGGTATATCTACAGAAACAGTTTTAACATACCTCCGCGCAAAGTTCATTTTAAACAAAAATCAATCGATCGATATATGCATACAATGATTATAAATATATATATATATATATATATATATATATATATATATATATATAAACAATACTAAACACTGTTCCGAACAGTAATGATCATACACAATGGAAACCTTCGACATTACGTAATCAGACGAAAGAGAGATGAAAAAATCCAGTTACCAGGCAGGAGGATAAGGAAAGACTGATAACCGCTTCTTTCTGAACGCATAAATCAGGTTTCAGAAGCTTGATGGAGATGGCTTCAGCAAACCTGAGGAGAATTGAGCTCTTTTGTGCCTATTGATAATTTTGAATGATCCTGTGATATCCATTTCATGACATGGGTCATGATCATTATTGTTTGAAATAGTGTTTAATATTATTATATATATTATTAGTAGTACTGTATGTATATGTTGGATGACGCGATTACTGGAGAAGGTATGGAAATAGGGCAAAGTACTCGAGGATCGGAAAAAAGGATACTTACACAAACTACCAAAGAAAGGAGACTTAAGTCAATGCAAAAACTGGCGAGG